CTAAGATTTGTTTAATTGGGTTAGAGTTGTAAGATTTAATACATTAAAATATCATAAAGTCGTCCTTTTGGGGGTGATGCTGGGAGATTGGCAATGATAAATGGGGGGGTGTATATTATATAGTTATACAAAAACAAAAAAACCCTAGAGGTTTCATTTCACCCTCTGAACGCAGCACCAGTAGGGAAGAATGTGTGCATGTTGTCTGGGAGGAAGCAAAGTGTTACTCAAGAGGAATCAGAAGGAAATGTTTCAAAATTGATGAATGACTGTTACAGATAGATAAAAGAGGATTTACTCTGCTTGGCTATTCCGAGGACAGGTTATAACAATTTATAAAAGCCTTAGCAGAAATTGGTAATTGAACAGGTGATGTGTAGGGAGAAGGGATGAAAGTATTTTGAAATGATAGTTGGAAGAGTTATTTTATTGGGAGAAAAGGAGGGAGGAAAATAGAGGGGGCACCTGGGGTGGGTGGGAAGTTAGCTTTTAAATTTGTATTGAATTTGTATTAATTTGGTGATAATTTGTTAAAAATTATGGAAAACCAATTTTAAAAACTGGCAAAAGAAATAGCAGTTCTTAGTGTGCAGCATAGGGTTGAAGTGGGAGAAGCAGAAAGGTTTGGGAGTTCATTGTAGACCATCCTGTGATCCTCGGATGAAGGGCAGTATAGAGATTTACTACTACTTATAATAATACAGCCCACTAAAATCAAGTACAAATGATTCTGGTTCCCATCCTTTCTCTTCTCTTTTACTGTAATGCTAATTAAATGCTAATACTTTGTCATTTCTTTTTATCCATTCAGGTGAAATACTGTCTTTAAACAGCTGGTCATCCCCTGAACACCTCTGATTTGCTGCTTTTGATGTTGCAATCTTTTTAAATTTGCCAGAGAATTGCTTTTTGATGATTAGATAAATTTCATCATATGTATTGGCACATCCTCAGTAGATTTTGCCTAAGCTGAATTTGAGGGCCAGTGTGGTGTAGTGGTCAGAGTGGCACATTAAAAATGGAGAAAGACAGGTTAAAATCCCAGCTCGAGCTCGGCCATGAAGCTCACTTGGTCACCTTGGGCCAATGACTCTTCTTTGTAGCCTTAACCTATCTCACAGGTTTATTGTGCCAATAATCAAGAGACAAGGTGGGAACACAATATGCTTGAGCTTATTACAGGAAAGGCAAGATATAAATGTTAAACTGCCTTCTTTGTCACCAGTACTTAAACACCAGGTACCTTTGGCTGAGAGGGGCTTGCCCTTCCCACTTTGTTTGATCCATCTAGCTCAGTATTTTCAACACTGACTTATAGAAGGCTCTCCATCATTTCAGACAGTGGACATTCTCACTCCTACTAGGAGATGCCAGGGGATTTAACCTGGAATCTTCCATATGCAATACTGTTCCACTGAACTATGGCCCTCCCCCTGAGGGGAGGGGACTGGCACGGTATGATCACATAAGTAGTTTTGCTGGGTTCAAGACAGTTTGGAAACTATACCTTGTGAAAAGTTATGTAATGGTAGTTTGCACATTAATAGTGGCTATAAAATGCATTCTGTCTAGTTGCAGAGGTAATGTTTTCTTTATTTCACATATCATCTGGGTTTGATCTCTCGCTGGCATTTTGTGAATGAGCCCCCACAGGACAAACACAGGCATCACAATCATCACACTTTTTTCTTTGGGAGAAAGAGGAAATTATTTCCCCCAAATATTGCAATGTGGGGGCAGAGGGTTAAATCTGCCGACATGCTTTACGTCTGGATCCAAAGAGTGAGGGAATGGGTGGGCATTATTAGGGATGGGTGCTCAGTGGTGAGAATAAAACTTTCTACATATGTTTGGAAGCATTCCCATTAGTATATGGACACCAAGCATTTCAGGGCCAGTATTAGGAGGACCTGACTATTTAAGTTGTTCGTAAATGAGCCTGAATCACGAGTGAGCGGTGAGATGGGCAGGTCTTCTGAACAAGCAACTTGTTCAAGGTAGTAAGAACAAAAAGGGATTGTGTGGAGCACCGAAAATATCATGCCAATAAAAATTGGGGCATCCCATTGCCAAACTGGGTGAATGCGCATTAAAATGGCAAATGCAATGCAGTGTAAGTGTGCAATGATGTAAGATGAGGCAAAACATGGCAAGTTCGCACATAACAGCTTATAGAATCTGAACTGTTGGTGACCAAGCGGGAAAGAAAGTTGTGGTGGAATGAAAATATAGACTTATTGTGCAGCAGCTGGAAAACAAACAAACAAACCCTGAATTCCATATGAGGGATCTTTAGGAAAGTGTCTGAAAATAAAACTGCCAATACGATGCAGTTATGCAAATTATGTAACATGAGGCCGCGTTTTGAATACTTTGGGAAATGCACATCAAAAAGATATAGAATTTGGGGGGAGGAAATGCAACCAAAATAATCCTGGGGCTCTAACAACTCCCTTATGAGGAAAGGTTACAACATTGGGGGCCTTTTAGTTTAGGAAAAAAGGCGGCTAATAAATGGGAACACGAGAAAGAGACATGCACAATTATGCGTGGTTTGGGGAAAGTGGACAGGGATAAGTTTCTCACTCCTTTATTGCAATATCAGACCATATGAAGCTGAACGTGGCAAGAGGGAGGACAAAAGGAAACAATTCTGCACGGAATGCATTGTTTAAAAACTCAGGAACTGGCCTCCCCAAACGCACCTCGCACTCTTCCCCCCACAGAAACGAGGAAGAACTGAATCGAACGGGGGGCGGGGAGTTGAACCATCTTCCTCTGTGGCTCCTCCCACATGCAAACCAGCTCCTCCCATTCTCCCTAAGCCCCACCCTCTCCGGTTAGCTCCGCCCCCAGCACCGCCTTCTTCAAGAATCCCGGACTCGCTGCCTTTAGCCACTTTTAAACGTTTTCGGGTTACAGAAATGAAACCCAGTCTCGCCTAAACCTATCAATTCCTTTTAAAATACAGTGTTTTTTTGCGGTTTTAATTTTTATTTATTTATTTATTTGTCCCCCTGTCAGTGAGGCGGCACTTCCGGTTGGGGGAGGAAACGCTTCCGGATCACACGGCGCCTCAGCTGGGGCTTCCCAGCAGGTGGGTGAGAGAGACCCCGGACCCTCGCCGTTCTTTCTTCCCTGCTTGCCAGCGAGGGGAGACGAGAGGGGGGGGGATATGGGGCGGGGCCGGCCTGCGGTTCGGGGAGCCGTGGGGCGGGGTGGGAGTGCCAGGGGAAGCGCTTGGGTAATGGAGGGAGCGAGCAAACCCGGGGGAAGGAAATAACCGCCGCACACTCTCCTTTTGCAGAGGTGGCAGCAGCCTCTCTCTAGCTGACAGGTCGCCCGCTGATTATGCCCCCACCTCACAGAGCAGAGGCTTATTGTGTTTGGTATTTTTGAAAATAGGTTTCTTACGTTTCCGAAGCATAGATGCTGGTGGGCTGGGGAAAAGGACAGGATCTCTGAAATGGGGGTGTCTCAGCCAAGTGAGAATATGGAATGAAAGGCGAGAGGTGGTGGTGGGGGATCTGGGAGGTAACCAGGGGGCAACGGAGAGGCAGAGTCCACGAAGCAGCTAGAGATTGGGGGCTGTGGCATAAGAGTCGGAAGGGACCACAAGGATCATCCACTCCAACCCCCTGCAATGCAGGAATCTTTTTGCCCAAATGTGGGGCTGGAATAATCCCATGAACCCTTGAGACGAAGTGTCTACCAGCTGAGACATTGTTTGGGCAGTGGTCCAGGGTGATAACTGGTCCAAATCTCCAGGCTTCCATAAAGGTTTCTTAAAGATTTGAGACCAATCGCTATATTTCAGTCCAACTTACCTGGTAGAGCTGTTTTCAGAATGAAAATAGGCAAGGAGGAGAACTGCCTATGCCATCTTGAGGCCCCTGGAAGAAAGGTGGGCCAATAAACATATGGGGTTTTATCCAATGCTAGTCCGACTCTCAGGTTTGAGAGGCTACTGAGTGTGTGTTTTTTGGGGAGGGGCAGCTGTTCTGGTCACTTAATGTTGACCAGAACTGACCCATTGAGATTAATGAATCTAAGTCTGCAGATTTGCTAGAATAGAAAATAAATAACATCATCTTCTTATACATGTCTACTAGGAAATAAGTCCCACTATATTCACAGGCTCTTGCTCCTGGGTAAGTGTTCATAGGATTGCTGCCCAAGTCATATAAATTAAAATGGGCAGGGTAGGTGATATCTATGTATCTACCTATACTGTATCTTGTTTGTTTGGGAGCAAGAAGCAGTTTGAGAAGAGAGACACCCAGGTAGTAAAGATGCTATGCATGATCTCCTCAAAGAACTGTCTGAAATGTTAATGCCCTATTGCAAAGTACAGTGGTGCCCCGCAAGACGAATGCCTCGCAAGACGAAAAACCCGCTAGACGAAAGGGTTTTCCGTTTCTGAGCTGCTTCGCAAAACGATTTTCCCTATGGGCTTGCTTCGCAAGACGAAACTCTTGCGGGTTTTTTTCCGCTTTCCCCCCCCTTTTTCTAAGCCGCTAAGCCGCTAATAGCCTTTTAGCAGCTTAGCCGCTAATCCTTTAATAGCCGCTAAACCGCTAATAGCGCTAATCCGCTTAGCCGCTAATAGGGTTGCTTCGCAAGACGAAAAAACCGCTAGACAAAGAGAATCGCGGAACGGATTCTTTTCGTCTTGCGAGGCACCACTGTACCATAACTTGGAAATTAGTAAACAATATAACAGTACATCCCAGTGACATTATATATACTGTACTAAAATACTAAGGATTTCAGTTCTTACTGTATGTGAATAGTTTATTTTTAGTTGGCATGTCTATTGAAACCTTTATTACTATTACTATTATGTTTAGATCTCAGTCCAAGTGGAATTACCGTAAATAGGAGTAAGCCCTTTTAACTTAGTTGTGTTGCAGCGAGGGTATTCAGGAAGAACAGCAGGGTATAAATGTTTTATGTGAGTAAATAAAACCACTGGACCTTACTTCCAAATAAACAAACATGGGATTGGGCTGCACATCAAAAGTTTTAAGTAATAAATGCAAAACTAATTTTCATTTTTGTCTTGGGGAACTGTATGGAGCCTTCCTTGCTTGGGCTGTTGGAAAAATATGTGATATAGTCAACACATTAGTACTGCAACACTGCTGCTGTGAAGAGGAGGCAGAAGTGATTACTTGTTAAGACACCTTCCCCTTCCACTTCTTTGTCTTTCACCACTTTCCTCCCAGCCAGCTGAGAGTTAATACGCACAGAGGAATTGAGAAAGAAATGCTGGCTGTTACTCATTTGCACATGCTGTATTGCCTATTAACTAAATGTAAACGTTGAAGTTAAAAACCAAGCAAAAAAAGTAGGACAGGGGAGAAGGAAATTAAAACAGGGATTGGCATTTCTTTGGCAGTAGTGAAGGTTATTGTATATGCATGCTTATTCAACCTTTTCGCTTCATAAACTCAGAGCAGGACTGCAGCCTCACAACAACCCTGTGAGGTAAGTTAGGCTGTGAGAGACTGTGTGACTTGCCCAATGCTAGTGATTTCAATTTGGGGGCTCCAATTCCACCCTGCTAGTGGAAAAGTAATTCTGGGGTACAGGGCCTTATTTTTCATTTTGGGATGGTGACTCTGGTTGGATTGTTGCATAAAGTCTCCCTATATATAGCATGCTGCCTCCCACTTACCTTTGCCTCTCTTCTCTTTTGCACCCACCTTCTCTGCCTGTGTTTGCTGAACAGCATGTCGGTTTTCCGCTCAGGCCTGCTGGTTCTGACATCGCCACTGTCGGCACTTTCCTTGCGTCTGGTACCCATTCTCGCCTCAGCTGCCCGGCTGGTACAAGACACGCTCTATATTCACCTGCAGCCAGGGCTCAGCTTGACCGGCTCCACACAGCCCCATTCCACATATGTCCCTGCTACATCTGAGGTGTACACCCTTATCAGCAAGTTATATGCCAACGCCGACATCCATCGCCACCTCAATGTCCGGGTGCTGCTCACCAACATCCTCAACCAGGGAGCTGCTCCTCCGGCACTTGGATCCGTGCAGAACCTCTCCCAACCTCCTGAAGTGGTGCTTACTGACTTTGAAACCAGAGATGGAGGGCAATCCAACCCAGTCAAGCAGCGGCTGGAGCGTTACGCTACCAGCTGCTACAGCTGTCGCCCCAATCTCATCTCTGTTTTGTTGTACCCTGAGTATGAGCTAGAAGTCAGCGATGAGGAGCTGTCCGCACAGCATGAGACCAACGCAACTGAGGAGCCACTGCAGAGCTACAGTGATGTCGTCGTAGGGGGCACTTTCGATAGACTTCACAACGGTCATAAGATCCTTCTGAGCGTGAGCTGCATGTTGGCAGAAAATCGGCTTGTGGTGGGCGTCTCGGACAGAGATCTCCTGGAAAGTGGGTCCCTTTGAACCATGTATGCCCTTTTTCCAAGGTCCCATAAAGCTATTGATGGCTACTAGCCATGATGGCTATGCTCTTTCTCCACGGCTGGAGGTGGTAATGCTACTGAAACTGTAGAAGGGCAGAGCACTCTTGTCATGATTGCAAGTTTCCCACATGTATCTAGTTGGCCATTGTGAGAAAAGGATGCTGGACTAGATGGGCTAGTGGCCTGATCCAGCAGGCTCTTTGTAGATTCTTATGTAATGCTACTAAAACAAACCAAGAGCACTGAATGAGCAAATGCTGTGACTAGAATCTGGGTTGGAAAACCCCAGAATTGGGTGAGAGAGTGAGCGGGATAATTTCCTTGTTGCCTAGACATTTATTTTGGTGCTTAGGAACTTAAAACATTTTCTAGCCCTGACTGGAACTATTGCTTACCAGTTAGTTACATTTCCAGGCCTTGAAAAAAGAATTCAGATTATCTAAACATTAGCAACAAATGTTCTAACAGGATGAAGAAATATTCCAAATCCTTAAATACTACCCAGTATTCCAAATCCTTAAATACTACCCAGAGACTTTCATATGCCTGGGATATTTTTGACCCTACAACATCTTTTCTGTTTTGATATGAGCTGGATCATTTTGGTTTTCTCTCTTCTTGAGGATCAGAAATTTAATCCTTCTGTTTTTTCAGAGGCTAGGATGTGAATTTGGAAATGAGGCTGTTGAGCCACAAGATAAAGGCCCAGTTCACACACAGCATTAAACCAAGACATGGATAAATGTGAACATGCAGGTAGTGGTACTCAAAGGAAAAATCACAGCTGCTAAGCTCTTCCTCTAGTCCTGCTGTGCTCCCCAGAGCTAGTTTGGCTTAGTGGTACATATAAACTCAAGCTCAACCACAAGCAGTAAACCAAGAACACGGATAGGCTTGTTTTTTAAAAATAGGACTTGAACACCCTACATACATGATTGCCCAGGCATGCAAAGCTTACAGCTCATATCTAGGAATTTGAAATATTTTTTCAGACTTGTTAAAACTAATGTCTTAAAAAGTGGTGTTGGATCCTCGGGTTTGTTGCTATTTTTTACCCACACTTGGCTATGGTTTATAAAGGTGAAGGGATAAAGTCCAGTGATGCTTAAAAATATGTTTGGCACTCTGCCAAACATAATTTATCAGGGTGATTTTTCTAAAGCTTCTAAGAGCTTTGCATAATTTGTTTTGATGACGTTTGCAACTGTGGAGTGTCCCTGTGCCCAAAAGCTCCAGGTTTGCTTTGGTTTGGTTGGAATAGCAAGCAGACCTGAATAGGATTTTGGTGGAACAGGGTAGAAGCCTCTTGCGGAAACCACAGCGCAAACAGCTCAGCCTCCCTGTCTCTGCTGCACAGGACAGGAACTGTAGGTAGGAAGCTGCCTTATAGCAAGTGGGGCTATTTGTTTGTCTACTCTAGACCAACATTGTCTATTAGGAATGACACCAACTCCCCAGGGTCTCAAGCTGAGTCCTTTCACGTCACCTGCTGCCTGATCTTCCTTTAACGGAAGATGCTATGGATTGAACTTGGGATCTTCTGCATTGCAATACATGTGCTCTATCACTGAGCTATAGGAAGAACCACTTGCAATCCTGCATGTCCCCTTTCTCTGGCCACACACAAACCGGAAAAGACAGAATGTGCAAAGAGGATTCTGCCAAAGCCCCTGTCAAGATCTTGCACTTTAGTTCTCATTTGTTTGTCCCAAGCCCTGCTCACCTATAGGCAACAAGACAGGAAAAGCTAAAGCAAGCACTGGAGAACTGTAAGTGGGAGCTGTAACAGAGCTCACTTATACTTCTTTGGATTCATCACAGATGCACCTATGTTACTGTGATGTGAAAAATTATTGGGCAAGACGAACCTTTTAATTGCTAGCTCAGCAAAACAAGCAGCCCCTCAAACTTGTATATTTTTAACCAGCGTGGGATTTTGTTTTTCCAATATTGCTTTGGGTGCCTCTTACACGCAGCAGGAGACACAGTGAGGTGGCAGGTCTTATCAGGCTCAAAATACGTCTGTGATGGACAGTTTGCCCTTTTCTGTAAGCCGCTTAGTGTGATAGCATCCTTGTGCCTGACAGATACTATGTTGGATGTTGGCAGCTAGATTAACTGGTGTGTGAGTGGCATCTCTACAGCACATGTGGGAGAACTTACTAGGCATTTTGCACATTCCTAAAAATGTCATATTTCCCCCTTCCTTCTTTCACCACCTGCAGACAAGATGCTGAAAGAGCTGATCTTGCCCTTTGAGCAGCGTGTGGCTCAGCTCAGTGAATTCTTGGTGGACATCAAGCCCTCCTTGCGGTATGAAATCTCCCCCCTGTTTGACTACTTTGGCCCGTCCATCACTGACGGCAAACTGAAGTGCATCATAGTCAGCGAAGAGACCCTCAAGGGTGGCCTTGCCGTCAACAGGAGGAGGGTGGAAAATGTAAGTCTGCTGGGAGCCCCAGCCTTGTAAACAAATTGGATCATCAAGAAGTTTGGGGGTGCATGAAATAAACAGAGGCTTTTCTGCCTTGGACAGGCTGAGCCTCCATATATTTACAGTATCTCATCTCTTTTTAAATCCATTCTTGCTAGCATCCTGCGATGGTGAGCGCCATCTGCTAAATTCTGACCTCCATTCCTAACACATAGTCTCTCCGTCAGCCCAGTGTTCTGGCACTGCTTGTGTTTATTTTCCTTTGAGTCACAATGGTTTTTGCTCAGAGAAGATTTGCTCTTGGGGCATACGAATGGTCCAGCTGGGTCAGGCAAACAAACAATGTGGCTTGGCTTCCTGTTTATCAACAGTGGCCATGTATATGCCTCAGCATATCTGCTCAGAAATATTGCTAGTTTGGAATTTAATCCCCTTAATCAAAGAGGCTAGACTGTAGGAAGCTTTTGGCCTTCTTTCTTCATTGTGCAGCCTGGTTCACATTCTTGAGAAAAATCTCAAACTGCTCTGTAGAAGGGCCTCTTTCGGCTCTGTGCTTGTAGCAATCTGAACGGAGAACACAGATATTCCTGCCAGAGTTGAACTAGATGTCCTTTTAGACTTTTTCAACCCTGATTTGATAAATCCAACAGAGGACATAAAGCAACATCCATCACTATGTTGTTAATTTACTGCAACTGGTAGTTGGCTGTATATTGCCTCTGAAAATGGAAGTTCTGTTTCTAACTATGAGGGTTTAGTAGCCACCAATCGGCTGCTCTTGCATTTACTTAATTCTCTTAAGAACCCCTGTGTTTTAGCTGGCACTGCACCATCCTGGGCAATGAATTCCATAAGGTCAAAGGTGTATTGGGTGAAGAAGTATTTTTCATTCTGTATGTAAAAGAGCTTAAGGTCTCTAAAGTTGCACACTCCAAGTTGCATAACTATGCAGATCTCAAGCCTTTGGGGGTGTTGATTTTTTTTTTAAATAGTCTCCTGTCCTAGTTTGTTGTCTTGGACATTTCAAAATATTAAACATAATTTAGCTACCCATTTCTCACCACTGGGGCAGAGAAACCAGTCACTCGGGAGAGGCAGTATAGTGTGGTGGGAGTGTCAAGACTGGGACTGATGGGACCCAGACTCTAATCCTTACTCCATCACGAAATACACTTGGGTGACCTTGGGCCAGTCATGATCCCTCAGCTTAACCTACTGTTGTAATAAATGTGGGATGTAAATAAAATAACTAAGCAATGAGTCAAACGAGGGATTCTCGCACCTTTTCAAAACCTGCTTATAGGTGAACTTCAGATTCACATCATTGTTAGTTGCTGGGAATGGTGGAGCCAGGAAGTTAACTAGCAATCTGCTAATGTGCAGCACAAGCCTGATTTTGTTTGGGTAAGTTTAGGTGCAGGCTGTGTTTCAAGGAGCAGCAGAGCCCACCCTGTAGCTGGTTGCCAAACTGTGGCAGAGAGAAGGCCCTCTGGTTTCCTTTCTCACTGTTGCTCCTCCTTCCTCACTGGCCCATGCTCTGTTGCAGGGTCTCCCTGAGCTGGCTGTCCACATCATCAAACTGGCTCTTGACCCCCTGCATGGCAGGAATGAGGAAGAGAAGATCAGCTCTTCTAGCCTGCGGTACAGGCTGCTTGGGACTCTGTTACACCCCCCACATGTGAGTAATACCCTGTGGCAATGAACTGGATAGGTTATGGGTTGGCTAGATGGGGTTGTTGTTGAATCTCCAGGAGGAGGCTTACTTGCAAGAATAACGAGGTGGAGGGAGAAAAGATGACACATATAGGGTAAGGAGCAAATTCTGATTTTCAGCTAGGAAGGCTGCTTTTTGTCTGGCCTGCTAAGTGGGCAGAGACTGGAGGTGAGTTAGTTTAACATCCTCCCTTCCCCATCTTATGAACTCTAGCCACTGTTTCCTCCTCTGTGTGCTGCTTGAAAGGGATTAGAGGACTCAAGGATGGGGAGCATACATGCAAGATCAGGGTCCTCATGTGTCATCAAGTGTGGTCAGGGGCATAGGAAGGGGGGGCGGTGGGGGGGTGCCGTCCTGGGTATCATTACTGAGGGGGGTGACATTTGGCGCGCTGGCCGCCCGCGACTCCCAAGCCTACCCCGAGCCGTCAGGGTAAGGGGGGAGCTGGGCTGCTTTGCTGGTGGCATTCCCCCCCCTTCCCCCTTTGTTTTGACAGCTTGGGGGAGGCTTGGGAGTCGTGGCTCGCCAAATTCCGCCATGGGCGGCTCGCTCTGCCCCTGGCTGCAGGATGCACATGCCGCTCCAGGCATATGCTCTGCCACTGAGTGTGGTACTTGAGTAAACACAGACAGTGACAGACAAACTCCCCACAGAAAGAGGATGCTGCCCACAGAAGAGAGTGCAAAACTTGGAATGTCCATCTGAGTCAACATGAGCAGAAGTTTATCTGGTGACAGGCTTTCAGTGTTAGAGCAGTGCTGTAGGACAAGCCCATGGAACAATGGCTGCCACGTCTCTGCTGTAATGTCTTAGAGCGGCTCAGAGTGAGCAGCAACAGTTATAACAACAAAACTAGGATGTGCATAATTGTGTCTGTGTCCCCAAACAACTCACTCTCCTTCACCACCCCCAGAAAGATCCAGGTGTCCCTTGCCACCCCTATGTTATTGGGCTGACAGGCGGGTCCGGTAGTGGCAAGAGTTCCATTGCACAACATCTGGTTCGCCTCGGTGCTTTCCATTTGGATATGGACAGTCTTGGACACAACATCTACCATCCAGGAGGACCTGTGTATGCACAGGTGGTAGAAGCATTTGGAACAGGTATTTCAGACTTCCTGGGAAACATTTTTTAAAGTCAGGGAGACTAGTAAATTAAGTTGCATAGGTAGTGCTTCCCCTAGCCCACAACCTGGCTGCTTTTTGTCTCTAGAAACTAAAGACCTAGTTTTCCCTTTTCTATTTCTCTTCTTTTTGTTTTTAACAAAAGCTGCATTCTTCATCAACATGTTATTGCTGACAGTTTCCCCCGAACAGTTAGAAAGTTTGTGAACATGCAAACTATGGTTTGATGTGAATGATTTTCTGTAGCACTCCTTTCCTACTGCTGCTGTGCTGCAGACAAAACAAGACAGAGTCTGGCTTGTTACGTTGTCTGAACCAGGGCTCATGGTTTGTTCCCACAAAAAACCTATGAGCAGAAAGCCAGCAGCAAACCTTGGAGTTCGGATAATACAAGTTGGGCTCTGACTTGTTTTGTTTGTGGAGCAGCAGGAGTGGGAGAGGATCACAGGAATTTTCTAGCTCACATTAAACCATGGTTTGTTTTAAACTATGGTTTCATGTTACATGCAGACTGAACCATTGTAGGTAAAATGCTAATAATTGTATAGCAGTGTTTCTAAAATGGTGGGCTAGGGAAAAGAAAGGAATGGTGGGAGGAAGCTGCTATAAGAGGAAGCATTTGAGTGTGAAAGGACCTAGGAAGAGGGATGAAAGGTTGGGGTGGGGAATAAGGGCCAATGAAAAGAGAACAGGAGAATAAATTACAGAAGATGAGTAAAAATACATTCCGATGCCAGGGGATGGAGGGCAGGAAGGGGAAAATATAAAATAGAAATATTTTCTATTTATTACCTCTGGGTTAGCAAATTCTGCCTGAAATATGGAGGCTGAGTCACAGTACCTCCTGATCAAATGCCTGCATTTAGCTCTAGGAAAGCTGAGCTATGGAACCCCTTGCCACCAGAAAAATGCTGAGACTTATCCAAAGAGAGTTTAGATACCAATAAAAATAATGTCCGTAATTGCCAGCTGATTAGGCCAAACTCTGCTTCCATTGTCACCATGTTGTGACTGAATTCACTCTTGCACCACTTTTTTGTTACTTGTGGACCTCTGTAATTTTTCAGTCCTGTAAAGTGGGGCCTTGGGTAGAAAGTTTGAGATCCCCTGCTGTACGGAACCAAGAACAAGTAACACCGTTCCTTCTTTGCAGATATTTTGAAAGAAGATGGAACCATCAACAGACAAATCCTGGGGGCCAAAGTGTTTAGAGACCAGGTAAAAAACCCTCTGGGTTTGGGATCAATGTTTAACTTCAGCCACCACGCCCCTCCCTCTCCCAATTGGCCATCATTTGTTTTGTTCCCCTTTGTGCCTCTGACACTAGCTTGCCTCTTCAGTCCACAAAACTAACAGAACCCTTTCACCTCTGTTCTCAGAATGTTTTCCTATTTTGTGGGTGAAAGGTACTCTCTGGGGAGTAGTGCATGCGGGAACAATTTCTCACTGTACAGTATGCAGAGTTTGACCCTTAGACTGGGCACTTCAGTGCTAGAAATAGTGCAAGTGCATGCTGGGATACCTCTTCTCTTTTACCATGTATCACAGCCCACTGATCTGTTAGCCAAAGGTGCTCTGCTCTGGGATTTATGCACTGATGTATGTTTTTCTCTAGTCCCCTACCCACCCATGTCCAATATCGGGCTGTTACCACACACACAACCCAGATTATTGACCAACAGCCCTCTTTTCCCTTGGGATCCTTACTTGCAGCCTCTTTTGTTCCCTCTCCCCAGGAGCAGTTGACGCGGCTCAACAATATCATGTGGCCAGTGATGGCTCGAATAGCGAAAGAAAAGATAGATGAGGCAGCTGCACAGGGTGAGGAGGGATTTGGGTTCTTGGCAGGAGCTGTGGGTGGGGATTCGTGGATAAATGGGTGCATGAAGAGGCTGCTATCTTGGCTTTTTCAGACAGGTGTTGGTAATCTACAAGAACTATTTCCAATCACTTAACATGGAGCCTAGCCACCAAAGAAGCTTTTCCTGGCATATCTTTTTAATATACTGTCCTCCAGTCACTTTGGAAATGGCTTAAAACATGGGTAGGCAAAGTAAGGCCCAGGGGCCGGATCTGGCCCAATCGCCTTCTAAATCCAGCCCGCGGACAGTCAGCATGTTTTTACATGAGTATGTGTGCTTTTATTTAAAATGCATCTCTGGGTTATTTGTGGGGCATAGGAATTCGTTCACCCCCCCCAAAAAAAAAATAGTCCGGCCCCCCACAAGGTCTGAGGGACAGTGGACCGGCCCCCTGCTGAAAAAGTTTGCTGATCCCTGGCTTAAAATAATAATTGTCAGGGACTGTGCTGGGGAGGGCTGCACTGAGGAGGACTGGTGGGAGCCCCCCCCCCCCCCGCTGCTCCTGATCTGGATCCTGAATATTACCAGGAGCAGGAGGACAGTATAGATTTGGAACAGTGGTTTGCCGAGGGACATAGTTCAGAAGGCAGAAGCTGGGAAATACTGGATGGGGAACATCTAGGAGAAGAAACACTGGAAGAGAGAGGGTTAACAGATTCACAGTTTTTGGAAAGCATTCACCCCCCCTTCCCCAAAGTTAATGGAGAGCTCAGAAAGTGGCAGAACAAAGCACAGAGGGTACAAGATCAGATTACAAGATGTAGAAGTGACGTAGATTAATAGGGACAAAAGAGGGTGGGATTCTTAATTGGAAGCATTGCCATTCTGGGAGATGTGTTCTTTGTTCTCTCGCTGTGGTTATTAAAGTTTCTAACTGGTAAGAAGACTCCTTTTCCTTTGTTCTGCTTATCTACTGCCACGGGGTGGGGGTGGAGGAAGCCAGTTCCCTGTAGCCTGACAATAATAGCACAAATATAGGATGGTACCTCACACCCAGTCAGGGAATCGGCTCATCTAATTCAGTACTGCCTACACTGATTGGCAGCTGTTATCCTGGTAGGCTTTCAGACAAGGGTATTGTACAGCCCTACCTGGAAATGCCTGGGATTGAACCAGGGACATTTTACATGAAAAGCACGTTCTCTACCACTGAGCCTTTCCCACATAAGGTGGGGCAAACCTAAGTCCTGCGTCCCTTCTGTCATTGGAAGGAATTCTTTTCCTGCCTGACCTTGGAAGTTTCTCAAAGCTGCCCCTGTCTGTTCTGCAGGAAATGCTGTGTGTGTGCTGGACGCAGCCATGCTGTTGGAGGCAGGCTGGGCAGACTTGGTGCACGAGGTCTGGACGGTTATCATCCCAGAAGATGAGGTACGTACTGTTTTTCTCTGTGTCATTTCTGCAGCTGAGCGATTCCACTTCTGTCTCTCTCAGCAATTTAGTACATGGCATTTTTAATGCTGGACCAAAAGCATAGCAGACACACACTGATTTTTGAGTGATTTATTATTATTATTATTTTGGTTGGATAAACTTGCTGGAGTATGCAAGAACCCAGCTAGGCAGAGGCTGTCTAAAACTCAAAAGCTCATTGTTTGTTTACGTTGTTTGTAAATTGCTTTGAGACTTACAAATGTAATAAACCTGAACCTCAAAGCTTATACAATCCATGGGGGCTGCATCAAATATTGTGGCTTTCTTATGCAGAAAGCACTTCTGTGCAGGGAAAACATGTAAACTGCCTTTAGATTATAGGTTGGGGAACCTTTTATTTATTTATTTTACAACGTGCACTTTGCTGTGTGTACATGGCAGTGAAATAGATGAGTGTATGCAAAAGTGCTTTTCATATGTAGAATGTTTACTCTGAATAGTAATAGTAATAATAATAATAATAATAATAATAATAGTACCCTGCCTATCTGATTGGGTTGCCCCAGCCACTCTGGGCAGCTTCCAACATATATAAAAACATAATAAAACATTAAAAAGCTTCCCTATCCAAGGCTGCCCAGTTGACATCTCCTTGACATCTGATGGGAGCGCGTTCCACAGGGTGGGTGCCACTACCGAGAGGGCCCTCTGCCTGGTTCCCTGTAGAAAGATACGCTTCTAATCAGTTTCTGTCTTCTCTCTGTTTCAGGCCCTAAGACGCATCATAGCCAGAGACAGGCTCAGTGAGGAATCTGCCAGGTTGCGTCTGCAAAGCCAAATGTCCAACAGCCAGCGCGTGAAACAGTCACACGTGGTTCTCTCCACATTGTGGGAGCCAGCAGTTACCTGTGAGCTGGTAAGAGTCTGCTGCTGCCGCTACTCGAGAGACCACCTCGCAGCTTCCCTTATAAGCATCCCTTTTCTGAGCCCCTTCCCTGTCAACCTTATTGAATAATCAATCACCTGTCCTTTCTTCACAGGTAGAAAAGGCTTGGGCCCTGCTCCAGAAACGCCTCAAAGAGGAGTAGAGCTTTGAACTGAGATGGAATCACTTCTTCACTCTGCTCCTTCGGTGCTGCCGGTCTGGAAAAGTCTACGGCAGGTGGGCCCCACCCCGACGAGGGGCCACAGATGAGGGTGGAGGTGGGGGGAAAGGGGAGTTCAAAATGCTTGACGGTGAGAGGACAGAGCTGACCTCCCTCTGCTTCCCCCCCGGTTGCAAAAAGGCTGAGGGAGAGGCATGAACAAGTGAGGGGTGAGGGGGTGCCTGATGGAGTAAGAAGGAGCAGCTTTTAGCATCCAAAGCCATTGATGGGTTTCATGATTCTGATGGAGACCAACCTTTCAGCAGCACGACTGACCAACGACGACACTCAGAGGTCACAGGGGTGGGGAGGGGCTGCTCTGCTTTAGCCCACCACTGCTCTGTTCTGTGTGCCCTGTGCATAAGCTACACATAAAGACGACATCTCTCGACAGCTCCGTCTCTGCGTGGTTGTGCCTGACACCTTAACACCTGGTGGGGATATCTCTTTGTCTGTTCCACAGCGGTTGGCAAACAAGTTCTTCTCTTTTTGCAGTCATCAAAACATTTGTGGCAGAGCGGGGAAAGCTAAAGATGCATTTTCTTGATCTGAGCTTTGTGCCAGTCTCTATGGCACCAGTCAATTCCTTTGACAACCTTCCCACGTATGCAAAGCTTTTGAAAACAAAAGACTTGCCATCCTGTGTTTGTCATTATTGTAACTTCAGTCGCTTTAACCTTTTCCTCAATAACTCAGTATTTCATTTTTTAAAAAAACCCTTTAAAAATGAGTGTTGTCTCATGAGCTCTTGCCTTTGCCCCTAAAGACTAGTTCTTTGAAGCCAATTGAAGATAATTTCTACATTTCCCGACAGCCAATTCCTGCTTCTCTCTCCATGTGTGCACACTTTTGTGATGGCCCTTCACCATGTGGGTCCTTTGTCTTCCTCTTTCTTACTAGAATTCAAAAGTGATGGAGGATATACCATCACCGCCTCCATCAGGCCAGTGGCCCTGCCAGCTTTTGGCCTTTCTGTGCAGCATGTCCACTTGTTTGAGGCTATTTACTGGGCAGGCACGTTTTGTCTGCATAACTACTCTCTGCTTGTGCCACACTGTAGGAAGGGCAATGGCTTGGCAGTAGAACATCTGCTTTGCCGGCAAAAGATCCCATGTTCAATCCCCGGTATCCTGGACAGCCGCTGCCAATCAGTGTGGACAATACTGAACCAGATGAGCCAATGGTCTGACTGGGTTTGATGTAACTTCCTATGTGGTGAAGTTGCTATCGGTTTTGGGGGCTCTGGTCTGTTGTGGTATCTGACTATGTCAACTACTGGCATTGGCATAAAAGACATGGAACATCTGCTTTCCAGTGGGTGTAAAATATTGGATGTGTCAAACATGGTGACTTAATTTTCCAAGGCATTTGTCAGCTCTTCTTAGATCACCCAATGTCTTGGCACAGGCATTTGGGAATCATTATGATAGGGGAGAAATGGCGTGTGGTCAGGCCCTTGTAGAAGGTGTTGAATTAAATTGCTTTTTCCAATATTATATATTTTTCTCTTTAATAATAATAATAGTTAAATAATAATAATAATATATTTATATGCCACCCATCTGACTGGGTTGCCCCAGCCACTCTGGGCGGTTCTCAACAAAAAACAGTAAAAGCACAATAAAGGTAAAGGACCCCTGACAATTAAGTCCAGTTGCAGACAACTCTGGGGTTGCGGCGCTCATCTCGCTTTACTGGCTGAGGGAGCCAACGTTTGTCTGCAGACAATTTTTCTGGGTCATGTGGCCAGCATGACTAAGCTGCTTCTGGCAAAACCAGAGTAGCACACGGAAACACCGTTTACCTTCCCGTCGGAATGGTACCTATTTATCTACTTGCACTTTGTCATGCTTTAGAACTGCTATGTTGGCAGAAGCTGGGACCGAGCAACAGGAGCTCACCCTGTTGCAGGGATTCGAACCACCGACCTTCCGATTGGCAAGCCCAGAGGCTCAGCAGTTTACACTACAGCACCACCTGCATCCCAAAAAAGCATAATACACCACCAAAAAACTAAAAACTTCCCTCTTCATATGTCTCTTTAAAATCACATAGCTGTTTATCTGTTTGACATCTGCTGGGAGGATGTTCCACAGGGTCGGCACAACTACTGAAAATAGCCTCTGCCTGGTTCCCTGTAACTTCACCTCTCGCAAAGAGGGAACCACCAGAAGGCCCTCGGAACTGGATCTTCAAGCAAGCCATCTCCGCCCCATGATCCTTCTGACTTTGCTGTCCAGCAGCTGTTAGCACTAGGCACCCGCCCAGAAGTGCCCTCCGTTGGGAGATTAGTATCCTAGCACCTGAAGGCGAAGTACAATGGAGCTGCCAGACACGCTAAACCAGTCTCCCCACCCTGCTGCTCATTAACAGAGGATACCAAGAGAACTTAAAGACCATCCAGTGTGTTTACCTTAAGAAACAAGCCTCGGAGCCTCGGCACTTCTACCCCTTTTTGTTTCCCATTACAAGATTTGCAGAATACACCCCTGTCTTTTGTTTTATAACAACTGCCTTCAGATCCTATGTGGCGTGGGTTTCCAAACGCAGTCCTACTGTTTTTGGCAGCTATTTTGCCCAAGTCCCTTTGGAAGCTCTGGGCTGCTTGCCTATCTTTTGGCTTTAACAGCTGCACGAGTTCTCTCAGGGAGAAACATTGTCCTGCTGAAGTTTTGCCTGTCGTGCACATTTTAGGGTACGGGAGCCTTGGCTGATGTAAAGGTGAATAATGCCACCTGGCTCCTACATAACACGCTTGAGGCCAAGGAACAATTATAAATTTCTAGAGGAGTAACCATGTGCACCTGCAGTGCAAATGCAGCAAACAGTCATTTGGCGTCAGATTTATTGTGCCAAACGCTTTCATGGGGCAGAGTCCACTTTATCCAATGCATCTGGATCCACAAAAGCTTGTGCTACAATAACATCTGTTCGTTTTAAAGGAACTGCAAGACACTGTTGCATGAAAGCCAAAGACACTCCAGTTATACAAAACATTCCCTCAGAACAGTAGGGGAATTGACAGGGCTTAATTAAAGCTGAAGATCAACTTTGGAATCTGAAAGCTATAAATCTCTGGTGATGCGGAAGTTGGGATCTGAGTCTGACAGCAGCATTATGACAGGTACTCCGCATGTGCTCAGAAGCACTTATTTCCAAATATTGTAGGGCTGCCATTGCCAGCTCCAATTTAGCTCAGCATTTAAGGGTTCCAAAGCTGAACCAAAAATAATAGACACCATCTGCTTTGTGTGTATATATTAAGACTAATTTCTTCTTTGTTAAATATGCACATAACATTTTGTTAATAAAGACAAAGCAGGGGCTTAATGCAAACAGACCAGGCTCTTTCTACCCTCTTTCCATGGTCAGTCTCAGAGTGCCAAGCACAAATTGTTTCATGGCTGTTTTAATCCAAAGCAGTAGCAATAGCAGTTCCAGCAAAGGCACATTCCCATAGCTCAGTGGTAGAGCATCTGCCTTGCATGAAAACGTCCCAGGTTCTATCCTTGATCTCTCCAAGCAGAGCTGGGTGAAGCCACTGGCTGAAATCCTGGAAAGCCGCCGCCTGTCAAGTGTGCTGAGCTGGCGCAAGAGACGGGGGTGCCAAGGGTGCGAGGCAACCCAGGTACGCTTCTGCGTAGAGGGGCTCCTCTGCAAACGCAACAAGGCTGGCTTACACCACATTTTGACGCGGTTACACATGGCCGTCTAAAAAGCGGGAAGCGGGAGCACGCACAAGGCCACCAAGTCCAGAGTCCGGCATTACCTAACTCTGCCCCCTCCGCCGCCGCCCCCAACCTCAGGCGCGCACGAGGAAGGCGGGGAAGGGGCTGGCCCTTCCGCAGACGCGCACAGGCAGACGCGCGCCCACCCTCCCCGGCGATGACGCACTTGGATCTGGGTAACTTTTTAGGCGAGCCGCCGGTCCGTTCCGAGCACTCGGTTCTCTCTTGGTCAGCGTGAAACAATGGCAGGAAGAAGCAGTCGCCTCGCCGTCCGGGGTTTGGTGGAGATGGGCTCCCGCCCGCGATGCTCGAAAGGAGCCGGGTAAGAGAGGGGACTGATCGGAGAAGGGAGGTTTTGGAGATCAGGGGATCCGGCTTCTTCCCCGCCGTTTCTGCCTTCTCCCAAAGGCGCAAACTTTCTGCCCGGAGAGCTTTTGGGCGGCTGAGCGCCCGTCATAGAGACCCCTTCTGAATTACAGAATCATAGGATGCAGGAATCTTTTGCCCAAAGTGCAAGATTAAGAGTCTCATGCTCTACTGACTGAGCTATTTGAATAGTAGTTTTAAGGTTAATAGCAATATTCGAGTATATGTCTGTGGTTTCTTTAAAAACGCGGATACTCTGCCTTTTCCTATCAAGAAGCTGCAGGTGGCTAACCATGGAATTTAACCATTTAAAATATCAATTACAGCACACACAAAATAAAGTGTGATGTTAAAATAAAATAGAAGTTAAACACTAAAAGCAGCAGCTGAAGTATATAAACGGCATGTAATCCTGCCAAAATTAGGCTGCAAACCTTAACAGACCTAATTGGGAATAAGCTGAACTGAACTCATTGGGGTTTACTTCTGTGTATATAGGTTCTATGCATAGGTTTCAGCTGGTAAGGTCCCATTTAAGTGAATGGACCTTACCATAACATTTTAGCAGAGATGTTTTAAATCATTCCAACTATTATTAAACGAATAATAATTGAAGTGAATTATGTAGTATCAATAAAAATAATGCATTCTCCTTGATTGTGTTTATTATTAGCGATTAATTAATTAAAATAGGGTGCTATCCTTCCAAAATATAACATCCTAAATTCCCATGGATTTCAGTGAGGGAGTGACATTATAGTCAGTCACAACTGTCCCATTAAAAACAATAGGTTGTGCAGCCAGTTTAATTCGGAAGTAGCAAGTCCAATTGAGTTTAATGGGACTTAACACCTAGATATGTAGGATATGTAAGGGTATCGTGTCCTGTCCCGCTGCTGGAGGCAAACTGCCCTGCCCTGCCCCTGTTGCTGCCAGTGCTGCTTTCCCTCCTGCCCTGCTGCTTCTGCTGCTGGCGGAGAATTTTGGTCATTTTTGGCCAAAATCAGTGCTTCTTTGCCAGTGGAGGAGTGAATGGGGCAGGCAAGGTGCCCCTTAGGAGCTTGTGCTGCCTGAGGCAGCCGTCTCTGGCTACCTAATGGCAGAGCCGGCTCCATAGCTAAGCATGCCTGGGATTGCAGCCTTAATATGTTTCACTTGGGATGGCCTGTGCCCATATTAGAACATGCCTTACTAATTAATAACAAAAGAGCAGCACGAGAAAAAACTGGATGTAACTAGTTTGACCATTTCCCACCTTCCCCTTCTAGGTACTTCTAAGAAAGTGCTGATTTCTCAATA